TACTATTTCTATTACAACAAGAAAATACCTTTTTCCCCTGGGGAAAAAAATGCAGATTTTCACAATACGGGAAACTAATGGTCATCGTCATTAAATGAACATTTACTGAAGTATATCATATAGAGAGATTACTAGGGCCTAAAAATAAAATGAAACACAAAAGCACTACTCCTGTCTTGAAAAAATAGGGTGTGAATTAAAACATTGTGTGAAGATAGCATATATGAATTAAGATAGCATAGACTGCAGGTCTAAATTAGCTTATTGGGTAAACTATAAGCTAATCCAACACTATAATTTTTTACCTTTTAGTATTTATTTGTAGAGTTATTAAAACTGATACATAAAAAACTGTTCATATTTGTGGGGTACGCAGTGATGTTGCAATACATATAATGTATAGTGATCAGACTGGGGTAATCAGCATATCCATCATCTCAAACATCTTTCATTTCTTTGTGAACAGTCACTATACTACTTCCAGCTATTTGAACTTATATAGTATTGTTAACTACAGTCATCTTACAGTGCTATAAAACACTAGAATTTGAATAACTTCATTGAAATATAATTCACACACCATAAATTCACCCTTTTATACAATTCAGAGATTTTAGTATATTCACAGAATTGTACATCTATCACTACAATCAGTATTAGAATTTATCACCCCCAAAAGAAGCTCCACATCCATCAGCAGTCATTCACCATTTCCTCCCACCCCAAACTCCTGAAAGCCACTAATCTATGTTCCATCTCTACAAATTTGCCAGTTGTGAACATCTCATATAAACTGAGTTACACAATATGTGGTCTTCTGTGTCTAGCTTCTTTCACCTAGAATGCTGTGTTCAAGGTTCACCTACCTTACAGCAGGTATTAATCAGATACATTAATGTATTAAGATCATTTGTTTTAACCCTTATGCCCAGATGGCTTTATTCACTTTACTAACAAAACAGGAAGTGAAAAATTCAAAGATGATGTTGAGTACATAATCTTTCAAAAATATTTTTCTTATACAAGGATCCATAATTACAATGAGAAAATGATTACAAAATAATAACAGTAAAACCAGTCTAATCTAGGTCTACTTTATCCTTAATATTCAGATTAGTTTAATCCTTTGAATAATATTCAATCTTGCTAGAACATAGCTAATTACATTAAAGGCTGCAATATGCAGAAACCTTAACATTTATAATAGACAATTCACTATCACAGCAATCCCATAATTTTCATTAGCAGTAATGATTTCTATTTATTAGCAGTAACAATCTTCTGCATGATTCCTGATAACCTGAGTTTCATAAAGCTGTACAAAAAATAAAGATTTGGTCAGTAATTTCACAAAATGAGGCAAGAGGAAGTGAAACAGAAACGTATTAATCACTTGAGACACTGCATTCTTCTGTTACAATAAAAAAGATACTGACTTCTCTATTATAGTTACCCTTAATTTGCTTGCAAACTTGCAAAACATTGTGTGAAAATCATCAAAACAGGACATCTAATTTGATAAAACATCAGAGTCCAGAGGGATATTTCTTAATAACATGAAGTTTGAACATCCTGAACAATATTCTTCAGTTTTCCTTTCTAGAGCTTGAGCAAAAACTGATATAAAGCACCTACTATACATGCCAAGCACTGCATTATGTACTAGGTATACAAAAAAAGCAACAAAATGATTACTGTTCTCAAAGAATTCACAATCTAGTGGATGCAGTAAATATAGCCATCAGAAAAACTAACATTTACTGAGCACCTATCATGAGACTGGCACTATATTAAAAGCTTTAGATGAATTCAACCCAAGCTGTCTGATTCTGGAGTCTGCTATTAATCATATGAAGATGTGATGTGTAGGCTGTTCCAGGCAAAGGAAAGCAAATGAGTGTAAAAGTAGAAAATGGTATGGTGTGAAGGGACCTGTGATGAATTTGGTATAGTGAAAAAAGAATTTAGAGGTAAAAAGTAGCAAGAACTGGGGCTAAAAGTTTAGCAGAGGTCAGATCATAAAGGTTCTGGAATGTCATTCCAATGAAAAATTAAAGAAGATCTAAGTAAAGAGAACTTGAAATGTTCCCAACACATAGAAATGATAAATACTCAAGGTGATACATATCCCAAATACCCTGACTTATTCATTACACATTCTAGGTATGTAACAAAAAATCATATGTACCCGATAAGTATGTAAAATATTATCTATCAATAAAATTTTTTTAAAATAACACCTGAGTAGCTCTTTTTCAAGTAAAATTAAAACATTCATATTTTCATGATAATGCAAGTAACCAGGACGAGTCTTTTTTCATTATGCCATTCTGTTTGCTTTTTCAACATAATTATCCAATGTTTGAAAATATATTTTTTAAAAATCATGACTTGCTTATTCATTTTTTATACCTATTCTCTTTTGATGCAAAAAAATTTTTTAAATGCCATTAAGTTTGAGGCTTTAAAGTGTGTTCAGATGTTTTAAGCTGAAAAGCTGATTGATACTAAAAGCATTCTCTCCTTTCCATAAAAGCATATGTTTTTTTCCATCCTATCTTTATAAGACTTACATGGTTAATACATGACTTTCATACATATTGCCCAAATGAAACAGAATAAAATTACTATTTTTGGTGATGGTCTATAAAGCCTTGGAAATCCTTCTGATATCCTTTAAGAGATAACAGCTGTTTCTACAATAAAGCACCAATATATGCCTCGTATAGCTTAATCCCCATTATCCCTGCACCTGAGAGGCTTGAAGCTTGGAAAATGTTCATCAGCTGATTTAAATATCACTAGGCATCACTGGCTGGGTAGCAACACAGTAGCAATCATGCAGGAACCTTTCTGAAGAAATTATAAAAGAAAATGTAGAAGCAGCATCCTAAAGTCCTTCTAAAGAGCTTTCCACAAGATTCTGACAATAAGGCTGTCACTGCAGAAATCCTGGATAGAGATTCTTCAATTTTCACAAAAGTGAGAGGGAAGGCCTTAAATCCTTAAACCAAAGATTAAAAAGAAGCATATCCTAGTTTGGGCTACATATCTTATTAATAAAAATTCGTCTTCAAATGCCACACCACCCACAAGAGTCCATAACTAGCTTTGGTCTTTTTTGGACACTACCTGACAGATTTTTTCTAACTTAGGTTGAAGGTTTATATTCTTTCATGCTGTATCACATAATAATGCCTTGTGGATGGTAGCCACTAAACAATTTGTTGATTTTTTTCTACTAAAAAGAATTAAATTTGGCCCCTGACTACCTCACCAGATACCTTTATTGCTCATTCTTTGTGTTCCAAACACACCTGCCTAATTTCAGTTTCTAAACCTAACAATAATCCTTTCCCCTCAAGCTGCATACACTACTCCCTCCACCTAGAACACTCCCCGCCTCCTCTACTTTCTTCAGAACTCAGATGAAATATTTCCTCAGAGAACCTCCACACTAGGGCATGTCCTCCTGTCACATGCTCTCATACCCAATTGTTCTCCTTTGCACCACTTACCATACTATAATTAAATAATTATGTGATTGATTAGTTTAATATCTGGCTCTCTCTCAGGATGTACATACCACGAGTTTTCATATCCTTATCCCCAGTGCCTTTCACAGACTAAAGATGAACATTTTTTGAATAAATGCACAAGTTTGAAAACTAGCTTTACAACTTAAGTAAATTTGAAAAAGTCACTTAATATCATTAGGCTTCAGTTCCTGTAGCTATGAAAAGAGAAAAATAAAAATGCTACCTCATCGAGTTGTTGGGATTTATGGTGAATGCTAAACTTTAAAATACCACATAAAAATATTAATATATTCTCAGCAAGGATATTTCACATTTAATATTGTCTTTAGCCAATCTTAATAGTATTAGCTAAGAACTTTAAAGCTTATTACAGATTATCAAGATGCTGATAAATAATGGAAGTATCTGACAAAAATTAATAAGTAGTCATTAGTTCCAGTCAGTAGCAGCCTATCACAGATTCCAAGCACTGATCTAAGAATTGTCAGTTTAATAATAATTGTCCATCTCACAAGAAAGCCTGTCAGGTCTACTGCAATTCATGCTTCAGAAAGAAGTATGTCCTATGGAGTTGGCCTCATGAACAAACACACCAGCTAAAGAATGGATCAATAGTGAAAGATGAGCTTCTCCAATTCACTCACAATTACACATCAGTCAATAGACTAATGTAAATCAATAATTTGTTATATTTGCTACGTTTACAGACTTTGATCTTTAATATAAACCTGGCAATAAAACAACACACATTTCCTTTGTTCTACAGTAATCTGATCATAAATATAGTAAAGAAAAAAACCTATTTTCTCATCTGTGTAATAAACATAAATCAAATTGTTCAGTAACCTCTTTCAGGTATATCTAGTAACTGTCTTCATAAGGATATTTAAAAACAAGTAAAAGCAAGATATATAACAGGTAATTATTAATGACAAGTAATTTTATGCCCTGAGTTATAGTCTTCCTAGGTATTCCTATACTAGCCTATATATGTGTATATATGTACATGTGTGTAGGCATATATACACATATATACACATTCATCTCGTACATAAACACACATATACACACACATGTGTATCCATACACACACACCTAGATATATATAAAATTCCACACTTCCTCTATTGTATTATAATTATGTAGTGTTTACCTGTAATCTCTCCTAGAAAGACAGCTCTTCGAAGCACAATGTCTTCTAAATCTGTAACCTCAGCACCTAGTCCAGCATTTCAACATAATGGCATTTAGTGAGTGCTTGCTAAATAAACTGCACAGTGCTTTGCCAATGTAATATTTTTCTGATGCCCAACTCATACTTCACAACAGTCAACTTTTGAGATTGTCCAGTCCCAGCTCTGAAGAAGATATGCTCTTAATAAAAAACACTTTGATATACTATCAGTTATTTGCTTCAAAACAATCCAGTGGGAGTACAGAGATTTGGAGGTGAAATAAGACTATGAGCTATAATTTAAACCATTTCTGATATAGGTTCATTATACAATTCTCTCTACTTTTATATGTTTGAAAGTTTTCGTAAGTATTTTTTAACTGGGAAAAAGTTTTAAAAGTTTAAAACTTTAGAAAGTTATCTTACAAGATGGCGAATTAGAAGCAGCTGCAGTCTGTGGGCAAGACAAAAGGTATGAAAGCAGCGAGTGAATTCAGCACCTTCACTGTGAATTCAGTTTTCACTGTGGGATTGTCTAGGCAACAACTCAATCCAAGGAGAATGACAAAAAGCAGAGTAGGGTGACAGCCCACTCAGAAGTGGCACAGAGCCAAAGGAACCCCCACCCCCAGCCGAAGGAAGCGTGAGGCAATCACACTTCTCCCATGGATCTTTGCAACCTGCAGATCAGGAGATCCCCTCATGAGCCCAGGACACCAGGGCCTTGGGTCTGATACACAGAACTGTGTAAAGTATCAGCAGAACAGCCGCTCAGGCATACATGGAGACCCAGGAGTTTTACATACTCCAGCCCCAGAATCCCTGGCAAGGCAGAAGATCCATCCTTGCACACCCCTAGGAATGGGGCTATATCTAGGGAGCCAAGCAGTGTCACCCTATAGGCCCCACTTCCACAGTACCTCACAAGTTAAGACTCACTGGCTTGGAATTCCAACCACCCAGTGGCAACAGGCTGGAGTCGGCCTGAGTTGGAACTGAGTTCCCGGGGAAAATGGGTGGCCACTGTCTCCGTGGTTCAGTTGATTCAGCTGTTCCAGTCGGTTGGCTTTGGAGAATACCAACAGTACAGACAAGGAAGGGTCTCCCACAGTGCAGCACTGCTGCCTTGCCAGATTGTGGCCATACTGCGTCCTTAAGCAGGACCTCAATCCATTCTTCCTCACTGGGCGGGACCTCCCTGAGAGGGCTTCAGCCACTCCAGCCACGGTTCTAAAGACAGAGCTCTCTAATCACTCCCCGGGACAGAACTCCTGTGGGGAGACCATCTCCGCGGTTCAGTAGACTCAGCTGTTTGAGCCTGCCAGCTTTGGAGAATATAAACGGTCTGGATGAGTAAGAGTTCCCCATAATGCAACACAGCTGCCTTGTCAGTTCGTTGCCAGACTGCTTCTTTAACCGGGACCCTGATCCATTCCTCCTCAGGAGCAGGACCTCCCTGCAGGGGTTTTAGTCACTCCAGCAAGGGTTCTACAGACAGTGCAGTGATCTCTCCCTGGGAGAGAGACGCCAGGGGGAGGGGTGGCTACCATTCAGTGGTTCAGTAGACTCAGCTGTTCCAGCCTGCCAGCTTTGGAGAACACAAAGGGTCTGGATGAGTAAGAGTCCCCCACAATGCAGCACAGCTGCCTTGTCAGTTCGTTGCCAGACTGCTTCTTTAATTGGGACCCTGATCCATTCCTCCTCAGGAGCAGGACCTTCCTGCAGGGGTTTTAGTCACTCCAGCAAGGGTTCTACAGACAGTGTGGTGATCTCTCCCTGGGAGAGAGATGCCAGGGAAAGGGGTGGCTGCCATCTCAGTGGTTCAGTAGACTCAGCTGTTCCAGCCTACCAGCTTTGGAGAACACAAACAGTCTGGACATGGTTCCCCCCAGTGCTGCATACCTGCTCTACCCCAAAAAAAAAAAAAGTAGCCAAACTACTTCTTTAAGCAGTTCCCTGATCCTGTTCCTCCTGACTAGGTGAGACCTCTCAACAGGGATCTTCAGCCACCTCCTATAGGCATGTTCAGGCCAACAACAGATCAGTAATCCCCTGCAACAGAGCATCCAGAAGAAGGAGCAGACTGCTATCTTTGCTGTTTTGCAGGCTTCACTGTGATACCACCAGTCATGGGAAAAGCCCAGGCAACTAGGGTCTAGAGCAGACCCCCAGCAAACTGCAGCAGCCCTACAGAAGAGTGGTCTGTCTGTTAAAAAAAAATAACAACATTAACAAAACAGACCCCACAAAAACCCCACTCAAAGGTCAGTAACCTCAAAGATTGAAAGCAGATAAACCCACAAAGATGAGAAAGAATCAACACAAAAATACTGAAAACTCAAAAAGCCAGAGTGCCTCTTCTCCTCAAATGACCCCAACACCTCTCCAGCAAGGGCACAGAACTGGGATGAGGCTCAGATGGCTGAACTGACAGAAGTGGGCTTCAGAAGGTCGGTAATAACAAACTTTGCTGAGCTAAGGAGCACATTGTAACCCAATACAAAGAAGCTAAGAATCATCATAAAATACATGAGCCGGTTGCCAGAATAGCCAGTTTAGAGAGGAACGTAACCGACCTGATGGAACAGAAAAACATAACATGAGAACTTCACAATGCCATCACAAGTAACAACAGTAAAACAGACCAAGCCAAGGAAAGAATCTCAGAGCTTGAAGATTATCTTTCTGAAATAAGACAGGCAGACAAGAATAGAGAAAAAGGAATGAAAAGGAATGAACAAAACCTTCAAGAAATATGGTATTATGTAAAGAGATCGACAGACTGGGGTACCCAAAAAAGACGGGGAGAATGGAACAAAGTTGGAAAACATACTTCAAAATATCATCCAGGAGAATTTTCCTAACCTAACAAGACAGGCCAACATTCAAAATCAGGAAATGCAAGAACCCAGTAAGATACTCCACAAGAAGACCGACCCCATGACACATAATCAACAGATTCTCCCAGGTCAAAATGAAAGAAAAAATATTAAGGACAGCCAAAGAGAAAGGCCAGGTCACCCACAAAGGGCAGCCTATCAGACTAATAGCGAACCTCTTAGCATAAACCGTACCAGCCAGTAAAGAGTGGGGGCCAATATTCAACATTCTTAAAGAAAAGAATTTTCAACCCAAAATGTCGTACCTGGCCAAACTAAGCTTCATAAGTGAAGGAGAAATAAGATCCTTTTCAGACAAGCAAATGTTGAGGGAATTCATCACCACCAGGGACTTGCAAGAGCTCCTAAAGGAAGCAGTAAATATGGAAAGGAAAAACCATTACCAGCCACTACAAAAACACACTGAAGTACACAGACCAGTGACACAATGAAGCAACCACATAAACAAGTCTGCAAAATAACCAGCTAGCATCATGATGCCAGGATCAAACTCACAAATAACAATACTAAACTTAAATATAAATGGCTTAAATGCACCAATTAAAAGACACAGATGGCAAGCTAGACAAAGAGCCAACACCCATCAGTATGCTGTCTTGAAGAGACACATCTCAAATGCAAAGACACACATAAGCTCAAAATAAAGGGATGGTGGAAAATTTACCAAGCAAAAGGGAAACAGAAAAAAAGCAGGGCTTTCAATCCTAGTTTCTGACAAAACACACGTACGTATTTTCTTTCTTTTTTTCTTTCTTTTCTTCCATTTCATTTCATTTTATTGAGATGGAGTTTCTTCTTGCCCAGAATGGAATGCAATGGCACATTTCAGCTCACTGAAACTTCTGCCTCCCAGCTTCAAGAAATTCCCCTGCCTCAGCCTCCCTAAGTAGCTAGGTTTACAGGCACCCGGCATGCCTGGCTAATTTTTTATATTTTTAGTAGAGATGGGGTTTCACCATGTTGGCCAGGATGGTCTTAAACGCCTGACCTCAGGTGATCCACCCACCTCAGCCTCCAAGGTGCTAGATTACAGGCATGAGCACCACACTTAGCCCACAAAACACACTTTAAACCAACAAAGATCAAAAAAGATAAAGAAGGGCATTACATAATGGTAAAGGGTTCAATTCAACGAGAAGAGCTAACTATCCTAAATATATACATACACTAATACAGGAGTACCCAGATTCATAAAGCAAGTTCTTAGAGACTTACAAAGACACTTAGACTTTAGACTCCCACACAAAAATAGTGGGAGACTTTTAACACCCCACTGACAATATTAGACAGATCATCAAGACAGAAAATTAACAAAAATATTCAGGACCTGAACTCAGTTCTGGATCAAGTGGACCTGAGAGACAGCTATAGAAATATCTACCTAGGCAAGGTGCAGTGACTCATGCCTATAATCCCAGCACTTTGGGAGGCCAGGTTTGTGGATCATTTAAAGCCAGGAGTTCAAGACCAGCCTGGCCAACATGGCGAAACCCTATTGCTACTAAAAATACAAAAATTAGCTGAACGCAGTGGCATGTGCCTATAATCCCAGCTACTAGGAAGGCTGAAGCAGAAGAATCACTTGAACCCAGGAGACAGGGGTTGCAGTGAGATGAGATTGCATCACTGCACTCTAGCCTGGGTAATGGACGAGATTCTGTCTCAAAAAATAAAAAAATAAAAACCTCTCTACCCCAAAACAACAATATACATTCTCTCATTGCCACATGGCACTTACACTAAAATTAATCACATAATTAGATTTAAAACACTCTTCAGCAAATGCAAAAGAAGAGAAATCATAACAGTGTCTCAGACCACAGTGCAATCAAATCAGAACTCAAAACTAAGAAATTCACTCAAAACCATACAATTACACAGAAATTGAACAATCTGCTCCTGAATGACTCTTAGATAATTAACAAAATCAAAGAAGAAATCAAGAAGTTCTTTGAAACTACTGAGAACAAACAGACAATATACCAGAATCTCTGGGATGCAGCTAAAGCAGTGCTAAGAGGAAAATGTACAGCATTGAATGTCCAAATCAAAAAGCTGGAAGATCTCAAGTTAACAACCTAATATCTCAACTAAAACAACTAGGGAACCAAGAGCAAACAAGCCTCAAAGCTAGCAGAGGACAAGAAATAACTAAGATCAGAGTAGAACTGAAGACAGAGACACGAAAAGTCCTTCAAAAAACAATGAATTCAGAAGCTTTTTTTTTTAAATAATATATGACTGAAAGCTAGATTAATAATAAAAGAGAATAATCAAACACAATCAAAAATGATAACAGGGATATCACCACTGACCCCTCAGAAATACAAACAACGATCAGAGAATGCTATAAACATTTCTATCCACATAAACTAGAAAATCTATTGGAAGAAACTGATAAATTCATGGACACATACACTCTCTCAAGACTGAACCAGGAAGAAATTGGATCCCTGAATAGACAAATAACAAGTTCTGAAACTGAGGCAGTAATAAATAGCCTACCAACCAAAAAAAAAAAAAAAAAGCCCATGACCAGATGGATCCACAGCTGAATTCTACCAGAGGTAAAAGAAGACCTGGTGCCATTTCCACTGAAACTATTAAAAAAAATTAAACAGGAGGGACTCTTCCCTAACTCATTCTATGAGGCCAACATCATCATGATACCAAAACCTGGCAGAGATACCACAAAAAAAGGAAACTTCAAGCCAATATCCTTAATGAACATCAATGCAAAAATCCTCAATAAAATATTGGCAAACCGAATCCAGTAGCACATCAAAAAGCTTATCCACCACTATCGAGCTGGCTTCATCCCTGGGATGCAAGGTTGGTTCAAATATGCAAATCAATAAATGTGATTCATCACATAAACACAACTAAAGACAAAACTCACATGATTATCTCAATAGATGTAGAAAAAGCCTTTGATAAAATTCAATATCCCTTCATGTTAAGAACTCTCACCCTTCATGTTAAAAACTGTCAATAAACTAGGTACTGAAGGAACATACCTCAAAATAGTAACAGCCATCTATGACAAACCCACAGCCAATATTATACTGAATGGGCAAAGGCTGGAAGCATTCCCCTGGAAAACCAGCACAAGACAAGGATGCCCTCCCTCTCTCACCATTCCTATTCAACATAGTATGGGAAGTTCTGGCCAGAGCAATCAGGTAAGAGAAAGAAATAAAGCATATTCAAATAAGAAGACAAGAGGTTAAATTATCTTTGTTTGCAGATGACATGATCCTATATCTAGAAAACCCCAACATCTCAGCCCAAAAGCTTCTTGCGCTGATAAGCAACTTCAGCAAAGTCTCATGATACAAAATCAATGTGCAAAAATCACTAGCATTCCTATACATGAGCAATAGTTAAGCAGAGAGCCAAATCATGAAGGAACTCCCATTCAAAATTGCTAAAAAAATAAAATAAAATAAAATACCTAGGAATACAGCTAAGAAGAGAGGCGAAGGACCTCTTCAGAAAGAGCTACAAACCACTCCTCAAAGAAATCACAGAGGACATAAACAAATGGAAAAACATTTCATGCTCATGCACAGGAAGACTCAAAACTCATGAAAATGGCCATGCTGCCCAAAGTAATTTATAGATTCAATGTTATTTCTATCAAACTACCACTGACATTATTCACAGAATTAGGAAAAACTATTTTAAAATTCATATGGAACCAAAGAAAGAGCCCAAAGAGCCCAAATAGCCAAGACTATCCTAAAAAAAAGCAAAGCTGAAGGTATCATGCTACCCAACTTCAAATATACTATAAGGCTACAGTAACGAAAACAACATGGTACTGGTATAAAAACGGACACATAGACCAATGGAACAAAATACAAAACTCATAAATAAGCCTGCACATCAACAACCATCTGATCTTCGACAAATCTGACAAAAACAAGCAATGAGGAAAGGACTCCCTATTAAATAAATGGTGTTGGGAGAACTGGCTAGCCATATGCAGAAAATTAAAACTGGACCCCTTCCTTACAACATATACAAAAATCATCTCAACATGGATTCAAGACTTAAATGTAAAACACAAAACTATATTTGCCAGGCGCAGTGGCTCACGCCTCTAATTCCAGCACTTTGGGAGGCAAAATGAGTGGATCACCTGAAGTACGGAGTTCAAGGCCAGCCTGGCCAACATGGTGAAACCCCATCTCTACTAAAAATACAAAAATTAGCTGGGTGTGGGTGGTGCACACCTGTAACCCTAGCTACTTGGGAGGCTGAGGCAGGAGAATTGCTTGAACCCAGGAGACAGAGGTTGCAGCAAGCTGAGATCACACCACTGCACTCTAGCCTGGGTGACCGAGCAAGACTCTGTCTCTGGAAAAAAAGAAAAAAAAAAAAATCCAAAACTATAAAAACCCTAGAAGAAAATCTGAGCAATACTATGATTCAATATATAGGTACCGGCAGATTTTATGACAAAAACACCAAAAGCAATTGCAAGTTTAATTAATTAGCTAAGTAATTAAACTAAAAAGCTTCTGCATAGCAGAAGAAACTATCATCAGAGTGAACAGAAAACCTACAGAATGGAAGAAAATTTTTGCAATCATCCACCTGACAAAGTTTCCAGAGTCTACAAGGAACTTAAAAGAAAAAAACAACAGCATTAAAAAGTGGCAAAGGACATGAACAGGCACTTCTGAAAGGAAGACAGATATGAGGCCAACAAACTTATGAAAAAAAAGCTGAACATCACTGATCATTAGAGACATGAACATCATAACCACAATGAGATACCATCTCACACCAGTCAGAATAGCTATTATTAAAAAAATCAAAAAACAACAGAGAAAACGGAACACTTTTACATTGTTGGTAGAGTGTAAATTAGTTCAACCATTGTGGAAGACAGTGTGGCAATTCCTCAAAGGCCTAGAGGTAGAAATACCATTTGACTCAGCAATCTCATTACTGGGTATATACCCAAAGGAATATAAATCATTCTATTATAAAGATACATACATGCATATGTTCACTGCAGCACTACTCACAATAGCAAAGACAAGGAATCAACCTATATGCCCATCAATGATAGACTGGATAAAGAAAATGTGGTACATGTACACCATGGAATAGTATGCAGCCAGAAAAAGGAACAAAATCATGTCCTTTGCAGGACACAGATGGAGTTGGAAACCATTATCCTCAACAAACTAACGCAGGGACAGAAAACCAAATACTGAATGTCTTACTTGTAAGTGGAAGCTGAACTATGAGAATACAT